GGTGTGTGTGTGTAGGTGTGTGTGTGTGTGTGTAGGTGTGTGTGTGTGTGTGTGTAGCTGTGTGTAGGTGTGTGTGTGTGTGTGTAGCTGTGTGTAGGTGTGCAAATCTGTGGAGGTCACAGGACAAAGGTCAAAGAACAACTTGTTAGAGTCAGAGTCAGGTATCAAACTCAGATCCTTATGCTTGGTGGCATGCATTTTATTCATTGAGTCAACTTGCTGGCCCCAAATAATGCTGCTTTGAATGTAGGAGTGCGAATGTCTCCATGACCCTGCTTTTATTATTTTAGCTGTGTGTAGGTGTGTGTAGGTGTGTGTAGGTGTGTGTGTGTAGGTGTGTGTGTGTAGGTGTAGGTGTGTGTGTAGGTGTGTGTGTAGGTGTGTGTAGGGGGTGTTTGTGTGTAGGTGTGTGTGTAGGTGTAGGTGTGTGTGTAGGTGTGTGTGTAGGTGTGTGTAGGGGGTGTTTGTGTGTAGATGTGTGTGTGTGTAGGTGTGTGTGTGTAGGTGTAGGTGTGGTCAGAGAAGCAGGAGTTGGAATTATAGTCAAAAGACTCAGGGGAATTGGTTATGTGTGCCCAGGGAAATCTGGCTGACTCATTCCGTCCTGCATTATAAACCATGCCTAATTATATCTGAGTAGCAATGATTATGTAAAGCTAGGAGGAACCGTTAGAAATGCCTCAAGTTCAAGTTGTCTACATACATCTCTTACACAGAAAGTCAGACAGACCCTGCATCTTACAAAGCATGTATGAAATAAGTTTATGGGTGTTCAAATGAGGAGTATTTGGTCTTAACTGTGAGTAATTCCAACTTTTTTATGTGTATGAGTGTATTGCCTGGATGTATGTAAGTGTGCTCATGGCATGCAATGCCTATGAAGGTTAGAAGAGGGAGTCAGCCCTCCTGAAACTAGAGTTAGGGACTGTTGTTAGCTGCCATGTGAGTGCTGGGAACCAAACCCTGGCCCCCTGCAAGGGCAGTCAGTGCTCTTAACCACTGAGCCATCTCTCCAGCACAAGTAATCCCAGTTTTAATAAGAGGAATCATTATGTTCACAAACTGGGACACTAGAACAGATTATTCATGGGTTCCACTAGTGGGAAAAGGAAGTGTCCAGAATAAAAGAGAAAGCAGGTAAGCTAGAAAGACTGACTGAATTCGCATAGCAATCCTTACCCACCCCTAGCGGGCTTTACTGAATGTCATAGGCAAAGGTTCACTGTTGAGCAGATGGTTGCTAATTTCCTCACAAAATTTTTATATACTGCCAGTTGTCCCTCGTTCTTTAACCTCTGAAGTGTTCAAGGATTCCAGAGCCTTCTCCACACTCTCCAGGTTACCAGGTCCAACCAGAAGAGAGGTAGCCTCCCATCCAATCTCGGTCAAACATCCGGCTGATCTGCTGGTTCCTTCATGCTGTGCCTCAGACCAAGTTCCTAAGAAACATGCTGAGATGTAGGTATGGAGAATGTTCTATGATCAACGTGGAGGGAGTGATAAATGAAGCAGGATTACAGTAAGAGAACTGAGCTGATATGTATTTGGGTTGACCACCGCAAAGTTCTCAGCCAGCCCGATATGGAGTGAGACCTTGGGACCTGACACTGGGGAAGAGTTCCAAATAAGAATAAAAATCTGTACTCAGAAAGAAAATGATGGCATCCTTGAGTGTGTGAGTGTGTGTGTGTGTGTGTGTGTGTGTGTGTGTGTGTGTTACTGTGTAAAGATACATTGGCAAAGTTCTTCCAAGCTAGATTGCAAATTATTTGAAGATAGAAACTGTCTGTGTCCTCTTCATTCTAGGAAATAATAGGCACTCAGTTTAGTTGTTGAATAACTAAATGGACAGTAGTGATGTCATGATAGACTAGGTAACTATCAGGGAAGAAAGCAGTATCTATTATAAGATTGCTCTGTGAAATGTATGTCTATATGTTTATAATTCTGTATATTATGCATGTATGCATGCATGTTGATGTGTGACTTTTCCCAGGGAGACATGAACAAGTATCTATCTACCCCAGACAGGCTATAACAACGAAGCAAAGCAATGATTCCACCCAACTCTAGTTTGGGTTAGTCAGTGAGTTACTGGGGTTCCCTAAAGAAACATGGGTGATTCGAAGGTTGCTGCTTCACCAAGAAGCCTACCCCAGTATGGGTGACAATTCATAAAATCTGTATCCCTGGAGGTCCTTGCACACCTTGAAGTTAACTCCACTAGAGAAAGCTTCCTCTCCTCAGGGAATATGTATTGATTTGATAAACTTAGGGAGAAGCCTTGTGAGTCATAACTTCCTGAGCCTCATAGGCTTTATGAGCTCCCTACACCTCTAACTTTTGTAAGTCTCCCTAGTCTTATAAACCTCTCTCCTTCCTGCAGAAAGGAATATTTCAATTTAGTTGAAATGCCTACATGACTTGTAGGATGGTCAAATTGTAAGAAAGGATGTTTTCTTTTTATCTGGTGAAATTTTATACATTTTGCTATAAGTAATGTGCTGCTTTTATAACCTAGAAGAAAACTTTGAAAGAAGATAGAGAAGCGTGAAGGATAATTGATGAGAAATAAAGTAGTTACCAACAACAGATGGATTGTGTCCTAGAGACATAACTGATAGGGTTTCCTATCACTTTGGGAAGGCTTCCCTCACCTTCTGACCATCCCACACAGGCGAAGACCTGCTTTATGGACCTTGCTGCCTTGGCAGATGAAGAGCTACCCTGGTTCTGTCTTCAAGTGAAACATGGATCTGAAATGTTCTGCCAGACTAAGGAAGCCGAGGACTACCAGTCTCCGAAGACTTAGAAAGATCTCACACTCCCAACCCCAGCCCAGTCTCAGACACAAAGTCCTCACTCTGGAAGCTTCTGTGGTGCTGCTCTGTTGGCACGTAGTCAAGTCTCAGCTGTGTCACGAGAGTGGAGCTAATCGAGGAAGGCTCCTGGGATTTTGTGTGGACAGTCAAACTCCATCTCCTTGTGGACTACCAGTCTCCGAAGACTTAGAAAGATCTCACACTCCCAACCCCAGCCCAGTCTCAGACACAAAGTCCTCACTCTGGAAGCTTCTGTGGTGCTGCTCTGTTGGCACGTAGTCAAGTCTCAGCTGTGTCACGAGAGTGGAGCTAATCAAGGAAGGCTCCTGGGATTTTGTGTGGACAGCCAAACTCCATCTCCTTGCCCTACATGATGCCCAGACATTTTCCCTTGGCTTTGTTCAAACTTCCCCTCCCAACATGTCTTTCTAGATTGATGCTCTCCACCAGTTTCCAGTATCCTCCAACCTTTTACTCCCTCCATCATCTCTCTCCACAACAGTTCACAAGGAAGTCAGCTTTCAACTCTGTCCTGCCTGATTCGGGTTCAAGGAGAGGATCTGTTTTCCTTATTCACCTCTATTCATCCTTTAACTGATGATCAGACCTTCCCTGCATTCCCCATCTCCTATGAAGGGCACTGAAAGAGCACGTGGAATTGAGCTTTTACACACTGTACAGGTGGTGTGGTGGTTTGAATTAGAAATGTCCCCCTTTGGCTCAAGTATTTGCATACTTGGTCCTCAATTAGTGGCACTGTTTGGGGAGGTCATGGAACCTTCAGATGGTGTAGCCTTGCTGGGGGAGTGTGTCACTGAGGTGTGGCTATAGCCTTGCCCCACTTCTAGTTCACTCTCTTTACTTCTTGACCATGGTTGGAGATGTGACCTCTCAGCTTCCTGCCCCTGCTGCCATAACCTGCTGCCTGCTGCCATTCCTCCCCACCATGATGGACTCTTCTCCCTCTGGAATCACAGGCCAAAATAAACTAGTCTATAAGTTGCTTTTGGTCATAGTATTTTATCACAGCAACAGAAAGCAAACTAATACAGGCAGATGAAAGCCAACGTGCTCCATCACTGAACTACATCCCCAGTCCACCATTCGTTCATTGTTTTGTTTAATTTTGTAATTGGCCAAGAACCTGAGCAGGGTAAAGAGAGTGTTATGTATTGACTACATCAGACCCCAAGGACTCTGTTTGCAGAATTTGCTGTGTCCAGCTATTGTAGGAATGGAGCAAAAGAGTAAGGTCCTAGTGAAAAGTCTAGAACATGGGCCTGCTCCAAGGCCGGTGGACTGATGAGATGAGCTCACTGAGGATGGGGAAGGGCCCCACCTCCACACAATGAGTGTTCTTGGGTATACCTGCTGCAAGAACCTGAGCAGAAGAGCAATGGGGACACTGAGTCGGTTCAGTACCCTTTATGCATACTACTGACCTTCCAGAAGACCTGACTAACCTCTACTCTTGGACCTGGTCTGTTCTGCGAGTGCTTGAGTGAAAAAGCAAATGCCACCATGTAAAGTATCATGCAATTTATTGAGGAAAAAGTGCAACATATTCATCACTAGAAAATCCATAGCTCAGGGTATGAAGGGGACAGGTGAGTCAGCGTATGATGTCCAAGTACGCAGAGGGCTCCCTGAGAACCAACAGCCTGGAAACCTTAACTTCCACCCTCCGGCACTGGCCCCAATGCACTGCCTTCCTCATGTGGTGCTGAACAGAGTCAGCTTCACACCATCCACTCCCTCTGAGAGGAAGATGGCCAAAGAGGGAACAAGCTAGAATAGAAGGCCCAGGCAGTCTTGGGCTCAGGTGCTGCTGTCAAAATCAGGGGCCATTGGTAGAGACTCTTCCAGAAACATCATCCCAGACTAATAGCTGGACCACCCTGGCCTAGGAGAGGACTTGAAAATGTAGGAGCCAATTTAGCCCTTTCTCCAACAAACTTGAGCAAAAGCGGGTTTGAGTTGTATGCACCTATTGATGCCAAGCAGACCCTGGCCTAGGAGAGGACTTGAAAATGTAGGAGCCAATTTAGCCCTTTCTCTAACAAACTTGAGCAAAAGCGGGTTTGAGTTGTATGCAGCTATTGATGCCAAGCAGATAGTGGGGGTACAGTTGCAGGCTAGGAGGGAAGCAGGAGAGCAGAGATGTTTGGTCCCTGAGGATCACTTGGACTGTTGCTGGCCAGAGCTGATGATCCGGGAAAAGTGAACATTGGTGCTGCCTCCACTGCCAGACTTGAAGCGACTGCCTCCTGAGGTCTGGGTATCCCCAGAGCTGAAGCCTGTTCCCCTCTGGCTCACAGAGATGCTGCCTCCACCGCCAAGCCTGCTCTCACTGCTGCCACTTGGGTAACCCCCGCTGCTGCCTCTACTGTCCCCTCCATAGCTGCTGCTGCCGCCTCTGGAGCCACTGCTGCTGCCGCCTCTGGAGCCACTGCTGCTGCTGCCACTGACCCCTCTGAAGCTTCCAGAGCTGCTGCTTGTGCTAGTGACATTGCTGATCACCGCTGCAGGAAAACAGACACACAATTCAGGAGAAAGTCCCAGGAAAGCTAAAGGCTAACAATCTCAGCCCAGCTCTGCTCCATTGTAACTTACAAAAGATTCTCAGTCTCTATGGGGCCTTGGCTTGAAAATAACAAGTAAGTCTGGTACCCTGGCCAAGAACAGGAACCAGAAGTACCCACAAAACTTCTGGTTCTCCAAACTAGAGCATACTCTACAAGCACAAAGGTTTGAGAGGAGGCTCACAGTTTACACTAGGGATAAGTGAGAGCTGGTCAGTGTCCCAGGAATTCTTCAAGTGAGTTGAGCCATGTTGCCTAAAGATCTGTCATTAACAATGTTTCCAATTGCCCATTTTACAAGCCAGCATATGGGGGGGGTGAGTGTGTGTGTGTGTGTGTGTGTGTATACACGTTTCTGTGCAGGTATCCACGTCCATGCACACACATGCAGGGACCAAAGAAAGATGTCAAGCATCTCCAACTTATCCCCTGAAGCTTACCATTTTGGCTGGGCTGGCTGACCAGCAAGCTCCCAGGATCCACCTGTCTCCGGGCTATCGATTCTGGGATGACAGGCACAAAAAACCATGCCCAGCTTTTAAATGAGTGCTAGAGATTCAAACTCGAGTCCTCAAGCTTGCACAGCGAGTGCTCTTACCACTGAGCCACCTCCCTAGCACACCCTCACAGGAAGGTTTTTGAATGTGCTACTTACAAATGCTCACAGCACTCTGACATTCTCCAGACATCCTGAAAAGCAAAGAAGACAAGGGTTATTTCTACAGTGAGTCAACAGTACAAGAGCCAAGGGTTCATAGTCCTGGGAGCTACATATTCCCGTGTGCCCTCCCAGGGGTCAAACTCCCCCAGACAGGAAAGGCTAGTCCAAGGCTGTTTCCATGACATCTTCTCCCCAGGAAAAGGGACCGATGCAGGGCTACAATGTCTATCACCTCTACCAAACTTCTGTCCATTGCCCCATCTTCCTGCCCTCTTTCCCTTAGTCCTAAAGATCTTCTGCGGGTAAACTGCCACCCCCGCCCCCCAATACACACCCTTTGCTGAGACATCTTCCCATCTTTGCGTGCGTTTCCCCTTCTCTTTTTTCCCAGCCCTGGCTTTTTAATAACATTTTATTTATTTTTGTCTTATGTGTATGAATGTATTGTTTGCATGTATGTAAGTGCACCCATGTTGCACAACGCCCATGGAGCTCAGAAGAGAGCATCAGATCCACCTGGAACTGGAGTCACAGAAAGTTGTTAGCCACCATGGGAGTGCTGTGAACTGAACCAGATCCTCTGCAAAGCAGCCAGGGCTCTTAACCACTGAGCCATCGCTAGCCTCTAAAGTTTAGATCTTGATGTCAGTACTGACATGTGACAGCAAATGAAGAATATGTCAGGAAAATGTAGCTTTGCAGTTTCTAAAAATCCCCCTGCCCCTTCACAGGCATATTCTGCTCATCTTCCATTATTAAGGAGTAGGCATAGCAAACCATAGTTAACTTAGTTGGAAAACATTGTTATTTATAACATAAAAATATACAGATGAGAGATGCATGCACCAACATCTCAGTGTTATTAGCAGAAACAATGAGTCTTTCTGTAAGAAACA